CCGAGGCTAGTGGATTGCCTGAGCCCGGGGGTTTGAGACCAGCCTGGGCAACTTGGCAAGACCTCGTCTCTACAAAAAAAGAGAAAATTATCCAGGTGTGGTAACATGCGCCTGCAGTTTCGGCTACTTGGAAGGCTGAGGTGGAAGGATCACTGGAGCCCAGCAGGTGGACGCTGGGGTGGCCGTGAGTGTGCCACTGCACTCCAGCCTGGGCGACAGAGTGAGATTCCAACTCCAAAAAAAAAAAAAAAAGAAAAGAAAAGAAAAAAAACACAACTCTGTGACACCTGTGTGACCTTGGGGAAAAGCATCGACTTCTCTGGGCTTCTTTTCTCTTACTTTCCTGTGTCTAATCCAGACAGTGTGGTGGGAGCCACAGCAGGCCATGGCTGGGACCAACCTGCCCCAGACACGCCACATACATGTATGGTTGGCTCTCTTATCCCCATGCTGGAATGTCAGCTCCATGGGAGGACCTGCCCTCGCCACAAGTCTTACCTAAAAAAAAAGGCAAGCCGGGCTCGGTGGTTCAGCCTGTAATCCCGTGCCTTTGGGAGGCTGAGGTGAGTGGATTGCCTGAGCCCGCGGGTTTGAGACCCGCTTGGGCAACTTGGCGAGACCTCATCTCTACAATAAATCAAAAAATCAGCTAGGCCTGGTAGCGCATGCCTGTAATTCTGGCTACTTGGAAGGCTGAGGCGGAAGGATCGTCAGAGCCCTGCAGGTCGAGGCTGCGGTGGCCGGGAGCGGCCACTGCACTCCAGTCTGGGTGACAGAGTGAGACGCCAACTCAAAAAAAAAAAAAGAAAAGAAAAAGAAAAGGCAGCCTCTAAAATATCTAGTGAACTGGGCAAAGTGGCTCATGCCTATAATCCCAGCACTTTGGGAGACCGAGGTGGGAGGATTGCTTGAGCCTAGGAGTTCGAGATCAGCCTGGGCAACATAGTGAGACCCCATCTCTACAAAAAAATTAGCAGGGCATGGTGGTGCATGCCTGTAGTCCCAGCTACTCAAGAGGCTGAGGCAGAAGGATTGCCTGAGCCCAGGGAGTGAAGGCTGCGGTGAGCTGGGATTGTACTACGGCACTCCAGCTTGGGCAACAGGGTGAGACCACAACTCGAAAAAAATTTTTTAAAGTATCTATGGAAGGAAGCAAGAGGACACCAAATCAGAGCCATCCCGGAGACAAACCTCAGAACTGGCAGGCCCCTTTCAGACAGTGCCCAGGTCTGGGCCCAACAGGCAGCACCTTTGGGATCCTCTGAATCAATTCATTAACCAATGAATATTCCAGGATGAGGATCGCAAAACCAGCACCGTCAGCTGACAAGGAGAAGGCGAGCATGGAGGGGGGGGATGGGATGGGACGGACAATGACGACACACCCGACCCCACACAGCTCTGATGCAATCCTTACCCACCAAGAGATCAATTGTGTAGATCCATCTGACTATACATGGGGAAACTGAGGCTTGGTAGCCAGGTGCAGTGGCTTATGCCTGTAACCTCAGCACTCTGGGAGGCAGAGGCAAGAGGGTTTTCTGAGCCCAGGGGCTGGAGACCAGCCTGGGCAACATGGCGAGACCTTGTCTCTACAATAAACAAAAACATTAGCTGGGCATGGTGGCACATGCCTGTAGTTACAGTTACTTGGAAGGATGAGGTGAAGGATTGCCTGAACTCAGTGGGTCGAGGCTGCAGTGACTGTGAGCATGCCACTGCCCTCCAGCCTGGATGACAGACTAAGACTCTGACTAAAAAAAAAACTCCAAAAAACCGAAGCTCAGGTGGCCTGATGACCCAGGTCACAAAGCCACCAGGAAGCAGAGTCAGGCCTCAAACACAGGGTTGTCCAAAGCAAAAGCCACTACCACCCAGCAGCCAGCTAGACATCACTCCCAGGTGAGCTGGGCGCAATGGCTCACGCCATTTCCGTGACTACCTAAAAGACATCTCTGTCCAGTTCTGACTTGGTGGCAGGAGGGACAGTATCTCAGTCATCCTTTGCCTCTGCTCCCAGCCCAGAGCCAGGCAGCCCTGAATAAGCCTTTCGGACTGAGCACACACACTCAGATGGAGGTCCCCCAGCTCTTCTCACCCCCCAAACAAAGGTAAAGAAAGGGGAACCTGCCTCAGTGTTCCCCTCTCAGCCCTGATGAAGCTGGCAAGGAGGTTGAAGAGGAGCCAAGGGCCACAGTGGCCCCCTGCGCCTGGTCAAGGGGCCACCATATTCTCCACCTACCAGCACGTGCGGCCGGGCCTTCCCCACTTGAGCCACTGGCTGACAAGCCCTGGTGACACTTTGACCTTCTAGGAAGGCATTTGGCACCAGCGGAAACCACTTTTTCCAATCCTGAGCCCTGCAACCACCTGACTGACAGCTTCCGGGGAAGGTTCCTTCCCTTTGGGGTGGGAAGAAATGATTCACCCAGTACTAATGTGCCGAGCACTGTGACTCCACTATTCCTGTGCCCCTTCTCCAGGGGAGCAGGCAACTGACACCAAGAACTTCCCAAGGGTCACAGCTGGACGCCACGGGGCCAAGATTCGCACCCGGGCTCCAGAAGCCTGCACCTGGACGCTTTCGAGGAAAGAGCGTGGGTTTCTCTCCTTACAGGGAGAGTGGTCAACTCCAGGAAGGCTTCCTGGGGCCTTCTGAGGAGGGTGGGCGAGGCGGGAAGGGAGATCGCCCTAAGGGGAATGCAGGGGGTGGAGCTCTCCTGCACCCAAGCCCAGGGAGGGAACCTGGGCGGCGGCAATGCCCCTCAAGGTTCATTGCGAGTCCCAGACCCATGGCCCTGCAGCGCTGGATCTGGCTGTGGCCCTGGCCCCCAACACCGTGCAGCCCAGAGGTGGGCGTCTCTGAGGACAGCGCTTCCGTTCCATCATCTAATTGGATTTGTGGGGTATGCACAATGGGGTCTCTGTGTGAGCTCGGATGCCAGCCAGGCCAAACTGAGGCAGGCTTCCCGCCAAGAAGGGGGCGGCGTCAGGCCCCGGGGAGGAGACAAGGCTGGGCACCCACACTCTTAGGGCTTAGGCTGGAATGGCTCCAGAGACCCCAGGTTTGGTGAGCGAGAGACAACACCATCACCCTGCTGCCTGGTTAAAGGGTCTCAGCCCAGATGCCAGGGAGCAGAGGGAAGAGTGGGGCTGAAGCGGTCTGCTCCCCAAGACACGGCCCTTCTGGTCCCGGGAGAACCCAGACCCCAGGCCCCTGTGAGCCACGCTATGCCAACACCCCAGTGGCATTGAGCAGAGACAACCCCTAAATTCCCCCGCATACCACCTTCCCACCCCCTCCCAAGTCCTCTGCAGAAGTAAGAAGCTTCTCACCCTGCCCAGAATGGGTAAGAGGCAAAGTCAGAGCAGGGAACTCCGCCGCCGTGGCAGGAAGGGGGTTATGCATTCTGGGAAGCCACGCATAATTAATCACATAGCATTAATCCGCCTCCCCCAACAATAGCGGCTGCATTTCCCCTGAATCCCAGCTGTCGGTCTCTGAATGAAAGGAAACAAGATTTAGGGCATCAAGCGTCCGTGAGGCTTCTGCAGGGGGAGAAGAGGGCCCCAAAAAAGCAAAAAAAAAAGAAAGTAGCGCGCATTCATTAGCGTCCACAAAGACACAATCGGCTTTGTCCATTAAACTGCTCACAGGCCTGCTTAATTGGCTTCAGCTCAGGGAGGGCGGGGATCCAGGCAAGGAGGGGGCCGCCTGCCCACAGGCTGGACAGTCGGGGAAGGCAGGAGCCTGGGCCGGGTTGTCAAGGGAATGGGCCCTCGGCAGTCGGAATGAGGGCGCGCAGACAGGCGGGGAGCCATTTCTTCATCGGCAGCCTGGGGGGCGGAGGGGCTCTTTCTCCAGTCACCAAACACCTCCTCATTATTCCATCAGGGATGAACTCAAGTTGAAGGGCATTAAGCCCCAGCAGAAAAACTTCCCCAAGGCTGACTGGTACTTGCAAGCCAGCAGGCAGTAAGGCAACAGATTCCAGGAGGACTCAGGGCACACCACAGACACCTGCCTCTCAGCCCCACTATGCCCACCTTACGGCTGAGGACCCGAGGCTGGGAGGCCAGAGCGTGCAGATGCCAGGACAGAACTCAAACTCCCAGCCCAGCGTGGTTGAGGCAGGCGGTCGGAGGACCAGTTGAGCCTAGTAATTCAAGACCAGCCTGGGCAGCATAACAAGACTTTATCACTACAAAACAATAAAAATAAAAAAGCCATCCGGGTGTGGTGGTGCATGCCTACAGTTCCAGTTATTCAGAAGGCTGAGGCGGAGGGATCGCCTAATCCATCCAGGAGGGCCAAGGTTGTGGTGAGCAGTGATCATGCCATCGCATTCCAGCCTGGGCGATGGAGTAAGACCGCAACTCAAAAAAACTCCAGCCCCCGACAGTCACCCCCACCACACGTCTCTACCAAGGGCCAAGGGCACTGCGTGTGAGATGAGTTCCAGCTTCTCCTCTCAACCTTACCCTGAGGCCAGGGAGGAGACAGCAAAACCCAAACAGTGGTTTTGCAGGAGTCAGTTTCCTGTAGGGAGGCTCACCTCCAGAGGAGGTGTCACCTGCCCAGGAGAGGCTCACCTGCCCAGAGGAAGTGCTCATTTGGGGAGGAGGGGCAATCACCTGTCCAGAGGACATGCCCCCTAGTTGGCAGGGTGTTGGAGGCTGGGCCTCTCTCTAAATGGTCAGCTGTTCCCAGGGGCTTCAAGAAGAAAGGCAGTACTGGGGTACACTGCTCCAGCAGCCTATGGTGGCCCACGGAGGCAAGCTCAAGCCTCCAGCAGCCAGACCCGCTCCACACGCAGCATAATTGCTGGTGATTAAGTAATTGCCAGACTTTGTCCAATAAAAGTCAGCACGTGACCGTGCCCAGCCTTCTGAGCCATCTCCAGAGGACAATGGCCCAGTGTTCTGCCCCTGCCGGCGCTGCTGCAGAAGGCAAGGGTTCTACTCCCGACAAAGCAACAGGTCTCCGCAGGGGTACTCACATGCAGGCCTCGGTGCCATTGGCCGCTTCACACTTTCCTCCGTTCAAGCAGGCCTCCCCGGGCTGCGAGCATCGAAGCCCTGGGACAGGCAAAAGGAGAGAGAGAGGTCAGACTCCCTGTGCCAGAGCTCAGGGATCCCCATGGACTCACCCTGGCTGTCCTAGAGTAGGACCAGCCACCAGCCCCAGACTGAGGGGCACCTCCCCAGAGTTCTGTGCTTAGGGTCACGGGGTTGCTGGGGACAGGGGCCATAGGGAGCCCCACAAAAAGTTCAGGGGATTCTACATTCTGCCCCAAGTTCTGTGGTCAGCAGCGAGGGAAAAAAGAGGCTGGGTGGCAGGGACGGACGGGCCATGCTGAGAGCAGGTAGGGTGGTCTGACGTGCTGCCTGGACCCCAGGGGGGTGAAGCTGCTACCCCCAACTTTGTCCCCCTGCCCCAAACATTCACTTGGGAGCCCAGCAGGGCCAGGGGCCCCCCTCCAGCCACCCAGATTGTCTCTGTTCAAACACGTTCTGCGAGGGGCTGGGCTGGAAGGGGGGTGGCCACACTCAGCTCCCCGCTCGTGGGAAAATGCGACAGCTGCTCGGCCGGCAGCCCCGCCTGCCAACAAAGCCCGGGCCTCGGAATCAGAGCAGCCCATTGTCGCGCCAGGGCCGCCTCCTGGGGCACCAGGACTGCACCCTGGGGACCTGGCCCCGCCTCCCGGACACCCAATACCTGCTCCTGCAGGCGGGCATCTCCAGGGGCAGCCCCCACCCCCCTCCCACGGGAGGGGAATGAAGTTTCCCCCGTTTGGAAGGAATCCGGCTCCATTTTGGAAAGGGGATCAATCAATCAAGCCCCTCCCTCTCCACCTTACCAAGGATGCCTAAATTATGACCTGGGAGGGGGGCGGGACGGGGTGCGACGAGAAACTTCACTATCTGGAAGAGGACAGCTAATTCTCACCTCCAACTCTTGGAGGGAGGTTGGATTAATCACTAGACTCCCCCAGAGAACCCCCTCGATGTGAAGCGAAGAGAAATAAGCGCCCACCCCCCCACACACACACTCCTCACCCCCGCAAGATTTCCAAACTTCAGCTCCGCAGAGCAAAACGAGAGTCCCACCAGGCGCAGCCGATTCTTCCGCACCGCCCCCCACGGTCTATGTGCGGGGCTGGGGGGCCCGGCAGGCGGGACAACCGGAGTTCCGGCACCCAGAGTCCACCTCCCCTGGCCCCGACCCCGCCAAGCAGACGGGTAATGAGAGCGCGGCGCCGCAGACCCCATATTCAGTCCGCGCCCCAACATCCGCCCCGGCGCGAGCCAGAGGCGCAGAAAGAAGATCCATGGCCCCCAAGAAGCAACAGGAAACCCAAACCGACTCGATTCAAATCGAAAAGTAGCAGGCAGCCCGCCTGCCGGCCCAGCGGCAAGCCCCACG